AGGTATAAAGAAAGTAATAAAAATGACTCAAAGTAGGGATAAAAGGAAAATAATCTAACTAATAATAAGTAAAACGGGTGCTTTATATATTGAATTCTCAACATATATCACACCCCCAAACTTAAACCGTTGCTTGTCCCTAAGTAACCAAAAGACAAACAAAAACACTCAATTTGAATAAAATGCATGACCAAGGCATTAAATGCACACACAATGAGAGGTATACCAATTACGAAGTTCATAGCCTTTCATAAGTCCTTGATGAGTCACTCAAAACCAAGTTTTGTATGAACCATAAGCTAGCATTACCCTTTTCTTTGTTAAGCTCAATCACAATCACATTTTTAGGATCTATAAGGCTTATAGGGTTACTCTCTTTGATATTTCCTTTCTCTCATAGCCTTTTTCTGTATATACTCCACATACAAATTTTTTCAATTTTTGGGCACTTTGTGCTCTTTTGATGGGAGTGTGCACAAAGCCCCTATGGGACTTTTTCTTGTGTTTTTCCAAAACCTTTCATAATAAGGAGTCAAGTTAGAGCTTTGCTCTTTTGTACTGATATTTTGTCCTTATACAACAATCCTCCCCCAAACTTGAATACGACAATGTCCTCATTGGAGCTTTGTGGGGTATATGGTGTTTGAAAGGTGCAAGTGGCTATTATGATCATAGAAAAAAAGGCCTATTTCATTCCCTAATGTAGATTGTGTGATCCAAGTGTTGCCAAAAAAGAGTTTTGCTAGTTCTAGCAAGAACAATATATCTTGGCTAAATGACAAGTAATCAACAGAATTATTGGGGCTATGATCCCACATGTAACAGTCCTCAAATCAAGTGATCATGCATAAAAAATAATACTAAAAGGATATAAAAATTGTCCCCGACTCAAAAGAATAAAATATGGAAGCTAAAGAAAGTGGTTAAAACCTGTCCTACTCCGTAGGAGTAGGCTGTGAAGTCCGGACTACCATCTCCTTCTTTAACTGTTCATTCTCTTCAAACAGACTCTTATTATCCACCTTGATGGCCTTCAGAATGTTTTCACGAAACTTGATATTCTCACCTGTTATGAGGCTAAACAAAAGCACCAACGTTTCTACAAAAATGGAGCTGTTATGATTAGTCGATGATAAATAATGTCTAATAAAGCTTATCCAAACATTCTTATCAGAGGACAAATTGGCAACCTTAAAGGTTTTCAACATGAAATTAGTGTAAGGCTTCCAATCAGTCTCAGGCATTCCAAGGGAAGTCATGATCTCAACCAAATATGCCTCAGAGGTTGTGTGCAAGAGTGCATCATTCTCATAATCTATGTGAGGTGAAAGACCAAATAATTTATTTACGGCTTTGTCAAAAGTAGACACTTTTCTTTGTGGCTCTATGGATGTGAAGTTATTGTCATATGTGATGATTTTATGTTGACAAAAATAAGGACTAATCCCCTTTTGGTCGTCAATGATCAATCACATAGCTTCTATGTGCAACTTCAACATATCAACCAACTTCTTTTCTTGATGCAATTCTGGGGTAGATGATATGTTGACAGGCAATTTGCCTTCTTCTCCTAAAAAAGCATACTTCAAATGTGATAAGAGTTGTTTCAACTCTAAGTCAAGTGGTGAAACAATGAATGTGGTGAAGTTTTTCTGCTCATTATTTTCCAGCAGCTCAAATGCTGCAGCAGCCTCTGGGACAATATTATTTCCTATTGCCTCTATTTCCTCAACAGTCTATTCCTCTATTACCTCATCACTCTCTTGTTTCAACTTAAGGGTTTTATGGACTCCTTCCTCATGACACATTGATTATATTTCACAAGTTCTTGAACACTCTTCCAAATAGTCATGGTATTTCAAAGAATTGAAAACATTAAATGTGACTTTTTGGTTCTAAAGTCTCATAGTCAGCTCTCCTTTCTGGACATCTATCAGAGTTCTTCCGGTGGCTAGAAATGGTCTTCCTAAAATGATAGGAATGTCCTTATCAGCCTCAAAGTCTAAGATGATAAAATCTGCCGGAAATATGAACTTGTCAACTTGCACTAAAACATCCTCAATCTTTCCCTTAGGGTACGCAATGGATTTGTTGGCCAATTGAAGTGTAACAGTGGTAGATCTAGCCTCTCTTATGCCTAAGGTGTTGAAAACAGATAAGGGCATAAGGTTGATACTTGTGCCTAAGTCACACAAAGCTTTCCCAATTTCCTTCCCACCTATAGAACAAGGAATAGTGAAACTTCCCGGGTTTTTAAGCTTAGGAGGTATCTTGTTGGTCAGAAGTGCACTACATCCTTCAGTAAGAGCTACAGTTTCATACTCGGACAGCTTCTTCTTCATACTTAAGATGTCTTTGAGAAACTTAACATAACTGGGCATTTGCTCAATTGCTTCAACAAGGGGTATGTTGATATGCAATGCTTTGAACACATCCAAAAATTTCTTAAATTGTAGTTCTTCCTTCTGATTCCTTAACCTTTGGGGAAATGGGACATATGGAGGAACTGGTTTCGTGGAAACTTTATTTGAATGTGTTGAGCAAGATGAGTCCAGAGTGCCTAGAGTCTTGTTCTTACCTTCTTGAGGTTCAGATGGGGTTACAACCTTGGCCTTTGGACCTGCTATAACCTCATCTTCAATTGGCTTTTTCCTAGCAACTTCTGGGAATAACAAAGGATAGTCTAACCTAGGAGGAACAAAAGTAGAGACCTCAGATGCTTGCTTCTCTAAAGGTTGGACCGGTCTTTCTTTTGTAGAGACCAATGTTGTAGCATCAGTTTTTGACAAACTTGGTGCACTAGCTTTTTGCACTTTTTCAGTCAACTCCTTCCCACTCCTAAGGGTCACTGCTTTCACATGTTCTTTTCCTAAGGCTCTCAGGACTTCTGTGTTACTAGGCAAAGTACCAAGGACTCTATTGGTCTGATTGAGTGCAAGTTGACTGACTTGGGTTTCCAGATTTCTGATAGCAGCACTTTGCTGATTAAAAAGAGATTGATTTTGAGAGTTTTGTTCGGTTATCAAAGCTTGATTTTGAGCTTGAGCATGCGTAAATAACCCTTTTATCATTGCTTCCAAAGAAGATGATATATCAGCCTGTGGAGGTGGCTTGTTTTGAAAAGGTGGTTGACCAGTTTGAAAATTTTGGTGATGATTTTGGGAACTACTCGCATGTTGTTGGGGTTGAAAATTAGAGGTTCCTTGCTGCTTAGGTGCGAGTGGATTTAAACATGGACTGTTCCAAGAAAAATTCGGGTGTTGTTTCCAACTTGCATTGTAATTCTTGGTATAGGGACCAGATCTATTATGAACAAAGTTTATGGATTCAAAATTATGAGGACAATGTTCATACAAGTGTTCTCCACCACAACACACACATTGCACAGAGAGGACTGTTGGGACAGGTGTATTAGCAGCTTGTTGCATTCCCTGACCAGAAGTAAGGTTTTTAAGCATGGTGGCCATGGAAGTGAGCTGAGCTGTCAATGCAGTATATGCATCTACATCATGTATCCCAACAGTCTTTTTCTATGATTGAGCACGTGGGTCGGCCCAATGCCCATTGTTTGCGGATATCTTTTCCAGGATTTCATATCCCTCATTATAGGTGCTGGCTGTGAAGGCTCCGCCTGCAGTCGCATTGAGCATTTTCTTAGCCATGAGACTTAACCCATTGTAAAACGTCTCGAGTTGAATACAGTACGGAATGCCTTGGTGTGGGCATTTCCTCAACAACTCTTTGAACCTTTCCTATGCATCAGGAACAGCCTCATCGTCCATTTGTTTGAAAAAACATATCTCAAACCTGAATATAGCGTTCCTTGTTGGTGGAAAATATTTTCGAAAAAAAATTTCCGCCATGTTACTCCACGACGGCACAGAACCTGGTGTTAAAGAGTTAAACCATGCTTTTACACGATCCCTTAATGAAAATAAAAATAAAGTGAGTCTGAGAGCGTCATTGGACACTACCGGGATTAGGAAAGCACCATTGATTTCCATAAAAGATTTTAAGTGCGAATGTGGGTCCTCCGAAGGTAATCCGGAAAATTGTCATTCGTTTGAATCATGTGTAACAGTATCGGTTTTAGTTCGAAATAGAGAGCGGTCATGTGTGGTCTAACTATCCCGGAATTTAATTGTTCAAAATTCGGAATAGCATAATCCATGATCCTTGTATTTTTGGAATTTTCCAGATTAATGATGTTCGGAGTTTGTGCTATTTGTTGATCATTATGCTCAAGTGTCGTTCATGCTTGGTCGGTTATATCGCACATATTTAGACAAAAGAATTGGGTCACAAAGCAAGTATACAATACGGCCTAATATCGTCTTTCCAAGTAATAAAGTGCTACAAGTACCAGATTATCGTCCACGGAGATTGTAGCAAAAGTTAAATGAGAGTCCAATGAAAGAGGTGATTTCAGATGATGAATTTGAAGACTTTTGTTTGGTATTAAGGTGATTTAAAACAAATTACAGAATGTATAAGGATAGCAAGGGTGTAAGACTTGTGGTGAAACCCAAACACAAATTCCAGTAGCCAATGCTGTAGGAAAGCTACAGCAAGCAGTGTTTCAAAACTTAGTTCCATCATCTATTTTGAAGGTATTCCTCTCAGACTTCACCATTGCACTATATTATAGCTTTCAACCCATATCTCTATGTGTTATCCGGACCAGGGATAGTGACAAAATGGTGTCTTCAAAATATATGGATAAACAAATCTCTTTGTTAAAAATCACTCTCTCAAGTCGATTCCCATATCATTCGAGTTGGTGTGTGTTCTAGATAGTTCATCTCTGAATCTATCGCACTTTGACACTTTTAAAGAGTGACCAACCCGTCGGGAGTTAAGTTTGAAAGACATAAATGACAAGTCTCCTTGTCGACAACTATCTCAAGTCTACCTCTATCATTCAAGTTGACGTGCATTCAATGGCTTATCTCTAAGTCCATGGCACTTTAACACTTTCAAAGTGATCAACCCGTCAAGAAGTATACTTGGTTTTTATAAAAACTCGAATGAAACAATGGAACGTCGTTTACAAAAACACTTAGCTAGTTTATTTTGGTTTGAAAATCTCACTTTTCCATC